TTCAAAAAGGAACACAAATTTCTTCCTCTGCTGATAGAGGTAAACTCAGTAATGCTACTTTAGCTCAAAAGAAAGTTCTACAGGCTTGTAAGTGATTTTTCAAGTTCTTATATCAGTCAAGAGATTGAGGCTGGGAATAGCTTGTCTTCATTGTAATTTGAGGGTGGTGAGAAAGACCATATGGGCGAATTGTTCACCCAGGCACATCAGTGAACTCACTTAAGTGAATGAGGTTACTTAGGATTTACATCAGTGTAACTGAGAGCAGGATTTACGACCATCAAACTATCTCCTATTATGGTTTCATTGACAGGCAGGTCTTGTACTGTTTGGTTCAAATTTTCTATTAGGTTGTAGATGAAAAAATATTAATTGGGAGTAAAACCCCTTTGAATCAGTAGAAATTCTTCCACTTAAAAAAACAACTATCAAATGTACTGATAATACACCAGCTGTTACTATTCTATTGGTAACTAGCTCCCAAAGTAGTAGGCTCATTGATTGATAGGTTGATAAGAATGATAAGCTTCTGGTCTACAAATTAGGGCAAGTCAATAAAATCTCCAAAACAAAGCTATACTGGTTACCTCTTTGCTAGGAAAGTTATTAACTGGAAGACTAAGTGGGGCAATCAACTGAAAAGTGACTATAGAAATGCCTCTTGCTAGTGCATATATCTGCTCCTTAGATGTCTTCTGAGTCACATTGACTTAATTTACCTAGTCATATTCTGCCCTTGACACACAACTCCTGCTGACGTCAATGAGAGTTCCCATCACATGTCACAGCCACTGTATGACTCTTGGGTTTTAATTTTGTCAGTACTTTATATTCAATATATCAGCAGAAGGGAGAGTTCCATTCCACTCTTCCTTGTGCATGATCCAGCAGGTAGCAACTCTGTTCTGGTTCCAGATCTTTGATATCTGATGATGGGATGCAACAGAAAAAAACATAGCCAGATTTCAAATGCCATGTTGAGCCTGCAGCGCCATTAGTCTCAGAGGGGAGGAGGGAAGAAATAAAGTTTTGATTTACAGACACAAACAGCACATACGACATGATGTGAAATAAATTGGGATGCTTTGAATATTTTCTGCAGGTGCTACCTACTTACCATGTAACTTTGCTCTTCTTATTTTTCTTAGGGGGAAAAAAAAACATATTACTTGCTATATCCAGCATGAGAAGTGGACATCTCTGAGCTATACCAAAGAACGAAGTCAAACCATTGACTTAAGAAACAACTGATACACCAAAGAAATCAGGTTCTCAGTAATCACTGCTCCCATATAAGGAACAAAATATATGAATAAAAACAGTGTGAAAAGATGTAACTAGAGATTTAGAGTTTGATCCAACTTCCATTTGCTTTAATCGAAATCGGAATAAACCCTTCAGGCCTAATTTTCCACTGTCTTGCTCCTTGTTTAGTCAATTACTCCTGGGCAAAATGGGCCTATTTCAGCACTATATAACTCCAGCTTTATCCTGGTGAATAACTCCTTAGGCCTACTGAGTGCAAAGCAGGTGTAAAATGCTGCCAGATCAGAAGAGCAGTGTTTTGCACCCAGTTTGTTCTCACTTTGTACAAGAGTAAATGGTTACCCATGGCAGTGGAGAATCAGACCTGGAAACTGAAATCAAAGTTCTTCTATTATGGATAGGGGGAAAAATAACCCCTGGTTCTCTTGCAAAACTGTGATAAAATCATCCCATATAGCTCTTAGGGAGACTATTTCTCTTAAGTAATAACTAGATAGAACAACAGATAGATTCAGATCCCTTGATTTTTGCCCACTGGGCAGGTGCAAACATTCTCTGTTGTCAGTCACTAGCCTGCATTTGTAGGAATCTCTTGGTGAACCAAAGGGTTAACTTGCTAAACATAGGAGTTACATACAAACTAAGGAGTTACATTTCTAAACATGAGACAAAACTGCTGAGTATCATAACCAGAAATGTCCAAATTGTAGAGTTATCTATAAAAGCAAATTACCTCAGCCTGATTTATCACCAATTCCAGTTGGTTACTGTTATTGTGATGGGAATTTTTATTAAAAGCAGGATGGAGCACTGAGTGAGCTTGGCTTTGGGCAGGAATACAATTATTACTATCTTTCAGCTGAATTAACATATTTTTAATATTAGTGATTAAAATATGGACCACAAAAACCTAATATTAATATAGGATTAAGCATTGAAAAAACTGTTCACTGTGTACACTAAGAGCATGGCAAATATATACACACTAGCACAGACAGAGATGCACACACACCTGTGTATGTACACAGTACAGACAAGCACAGACAGACAGACAGACACACCCCTGCACACACAGAGTGCACACTGGCAAAGACTGATGGACACACCATTGTGCACATATAATAGACTGACAGACACAGACCTACACATTCCAGGATATCTGCAGAACAGACTGGTACAAAAAGACAAACACACCCTTGAATATGTATGGTGCAGATGGGCAAAGACATACAGTTGTGCCCCTGAATGCACAAAGTACATATCCCCGATTGCACATAACACAGAGAGATCTCTAAATATGCATTGTGTATAGGCACAAACACACTTGAATACCCCTAAAAATATGTACAATTACCTCTACTGCATATATACACACATATAGATGCATGCACACCTATTTGTACATGCACAGGTTCACACACATACACTCATGCAGCACAGTTATATAGTTACACTCATATAGCATTAACAAAGATGCAGGCATTTTCTTGTATACACACATTCCCCTCTTTCCTATTTATCAGCCTGAATTAGACTGCAAGCTCCTTGTGGAACTCTGCTTTGTTTTGTTTTTGTAACAAGACTGTCCATGTACAACTGCTCCCCATAAATAACAACAATTATAATATACACAGGTACACTCTTGTGTGTACATACGGGCACTTACATACATTCCAGAGACAGATTCCTTTTTGACAGAGAAATCTCAGATATTTTTTCCCCAACAAAATATGCCTCACTCTCTTTGTGAGCTGTCGTGCCCTTCAGCAAAGAGTGGGATGTAAGAAGCAAAACTATCAGATTTTAAGTCATAACTGCTTAGATTAAATTTATAAAGACCTCACCCCCTCCCCCCAATTCTGCTTCCCCAATCTTTATTCAAAGGCAGCAGCTCTGATTCCCATCTGTGGCCCCTTCATGAATGGTTTGACTTGAAGTTCAAAGCATGGAGGGGCGAATACATTGAATCCCTTGGTGAGCACATGCAAGCCTAGGCTAAAAGAATGTTGTTGGTATATGTGCTGTTATTATTTATATAGTGCCATAGGTGTGCATGTCAGAAAACCGTCCATGCCCAGAGAATCTAGTGGTCTAAATTAGACCGACAACACAACAGATCATTGTGCGTGTGGGACAGAGTGAACAGTGGAATGGGGACCTTGTTTTGGGGGGGAATGTGTTTTTTTCTACAGAGAGCAGATAATAGTTATTGTTTTGTTTCACATATTTCTTATCAGTGTTTTTAACCTATCTTTTTATCAATTAAATTCCTTTGGTTGGTTAACTCTGAAATGTCTTGCAGAAGAAACTTGTTCTGAAGAGGGATCTGAAGAAAGAGACAGTGGCTTAAATGGCACACAAAAAGAGAGAGAGAGAGAGAGAGAGAGAGAGAGAGAGACTGTTGCAAGACTAAGAGGCAGCCTAGAAGGAGATGGGAAGATGAGAGTGGTGAAGGATGCAAAAGGAGCAGTTGGAAGAAGGATCATGTAGAAAGGCGAGAACATGATGTAAAATGAAGGTTAGCAATCCCCCTTTTTCATATTGCTTTGAGGGTCTATACTTTAGTCAACATACCTCTCTCTGGAGCATTAAAGCATCTTTTTGAAGTCTTCTTTTGGAAATAGTTCAATGCTAAAAGAATCTTTGGTGAAAGTCACCTGGAGTTATTACTATTATTACTAATTAACATTTAAATAATGGTAATGGCTAGAGGCCAACCAGTTCAGATCCCATTGTGCTAGGTGTTGTACAGTCATACAATAATTGATTGTCTCTGCCCCCAACGAGTCTAAAATACAAAAGACAAGGCACTACAAAACAGAGATTAGGGGATGTAGGTCCTAGTCCCAATTCTAACATGATTTATGAAGTAAAAAGCAGACAGAGGATGCAACCAGGTATAATCCTCACTGGAGAACACCAGAAACAAATTCAGGCAAACTGTCTTGCTTGGAAGTAGCACATTTGATTGTACAGTTCACGCTTCTCATTCTGGTTCATGTCTGTCACTTTGGTCCACTAGTCAACATTATGAATCTCTATATACTATATATATACTGTCCTCTCAGATATTCAAATGCATTCTCTTTTAGTGCACCATGGCATCAGTTATTAATATTTGATGTTTAGAAGAAATAATTTGTGAAACAGGCATGTTTTAGAGATCTTAATGATAAAGCAACACTTTGGAAAGTTATATTAAAAGAAAAAAGAAAAGAAAAGAAAAGAAAAAGTAATAGCTCTTTTTGATTAAATCAGATCATACCTGTCTGAAGCAAACAACTGATTTTTGTTTAAACAAACCTTTAAAATATTAACATTTTCCAGCATGATGCACTGGGTAGGGGGATGAACTCCCACATGTTCCTTTGGCCACAAATATCCCTCTACACATTGAGCAATTCACATGTGTTGTGCAGTGTGCTATACACTGTTTATCTCCTTGGCTGCCACCCACCCCATAAAGATAGACAGTTCAGAATGGAAGGAATTCCTGTGCATATGTAGTTTGTAAAGCACTTTGAGATCATTCACAATGACTACACAGTGTTGGCCAAAACCCAAAGATGTATATAGATAATATAAATAATAGATGTCTTCTATGTTTTTAGCATCCAAACAGTTAAAATGTGTCATTCTGAGAGCTGAACTCCTGCCTGCTTTGAATCAGGTGTCCCCAAAATGCTGGTGTGGGTGCACGCGCATGCAAACACACGTATAAGAATATACTTTGCCTATTGAAATCTCATATGTAATTTGCAGGTAGTCTGGTCTGCTCAGATGAGCTGATGAAAAATATACAGTGGAGTGGTCTGTAAATGTAATTCCCTTCAGTGCCAGGCTTGGGGAGTCTTTGAGAAGATCTGCTGGGGAAATCAAGGAGAAATCTGTTCAAGACATTTACTATACTAACAGGGGTAAGGATTCTGCAAGACCTGCTGAATCAGCGAGAAAGCAATGCGTTTTTCAGTCCTGATCAAAGCATTCTAGAAGCAGATTTAAGATCAACGACTGAAGGAGTCAAGTTTCTGTTCAAACTGGAATCTTTCCATGGTCACCAAATTGTAGTTATATATTTTTGATAATATTTGAAAATATGTATGTGCACTTAAATTCAATCTTAATAACTTTATCTCATCATTTAGCAGATTTGTATTAACATCATCTTGAGAGTAATTTGATTTCCTTTTTTAATTAAAATTAACAATAACAATAAAAAAATACAAAAAAACCAGCAATCTGGTATGATTACCATAAACACTCCCAAAAACAGATCATGATACTTGAGAAGTTATTGTTTCTTTTAGAAATGAACCCTGGAAAAATAGGGCCAGATACTGATCTCACAGAGATCAATGGCACGATACCCATTGATTGAAATGAGAAGAGCATTGGCCCTTAGTCCTCTAAAAATTAGAAGAATTCTTGATAATGTTGCCAGGTGCGCTATACCATGTAGCACAGAGACAGAGCATGACAGGGACAAAAGGATGGATGTTTCGGAACAGCAACATCAACATTCCCAGTGTGTCCTCCAAACCGTCTCATCATTGCACGTATAAAAAAAGGCATTGAAACAATTTGTTCTTAAAGGGACATGGCTGGATTAAAACACAAATTCCTTTTCTCTGCTACTGATCACATTTTAGATTCTGTAAACTTTTTCTGAATGAAATAGTCTCATGCACTTGTGACCAGTCCTGCCCATCGTTCACTTTCTGCACCTCACTCAGTGCAAACAGCAAAGCTAGAATGGACGGATTCATTTATTATTTTTAGCCAAATTCACTTTCTGATTCTTTGATACTAGCCCAGGGCTATTTGTGTTTGGGTCAAACAACTTAAGGGAAAGCTGACATAGAAAAACCTGTTCCCATTAATTTTTTTGGAAAAATTTTATTAAAATATTTCTATTCATCTTCAGTTTTGTAAAATTTCTTTTAAAAGAGAAATCTAAGTTTGGAAATAACTCCCTTCATTGTCCCCTTTTTAGCTATGGATGGATGCAACTGACAGAAAAATGAAGAAGTAGTTTGTGAAATTACCTCTATGGGAAAATGGCTTTTGCTATATTTCCATCTAACTTGCCTTGAATGCAAAAGGTTTCAAAATCCTTCAAGTGTATACAAATATAAAAAGGAAGTATTTTTATTTTATTTTTATAATCAATTGGTTTCTAAAAATTCCAATAGATGGGCAACTAACATAGAAAATTGTATTAATGTTGCGATATACCACATAGTATAGAATCAATATAGCAGAGGAATATTGGTGCTATTAATGTCTAACAGTCATATCATTACTGAGGTCCTGCAGACATATTAATACTAATAACATATGGTTTTAATAATATTATGGCTGTTTTAGATATTGGATTTTAAACAAAAAATAGTTAAAGTTTAAATGGGATCATTTGAACATTATATTATAAAACAAAAGAGGAGAGGATGAAGCGCTGGATGAAGGCCTTCTGGGGAGTACTATTTGGTCACCAATGACCTGAAGTGAATTTGAACCAGTTGACCTTGAAGTGAAAGTTTCTGTATGTAGGATAGCTAGGTCACTGCTTTGAATCCAGCCAAAGCTGGCAGTGCCCAGAGACTGTGAAGGATGTTTACACCTTCTGTGTGAAATGAGTCTGGCAGTCTCAGTCCATTCGCCAGTGGACAACACACCCATAGATTAGCCCTGCTGTTCGCACTCTCAGCAGAGAAGGAAAGGGTTGAGTGGGTCACAGATATTAAACATGCCTCTGACTTCTAAAGAAGGTAACACTTAGGCAAAACTTGTACTGCTCTTGGTCCATGCTGAGCCTATTATGCAGACAGTGGCATGCTATAAATACTATAGATTAGATAATTGGAAGCATGAGGCCTGTTGACAAACCACTCTGGCTCCACTTCCACACTTTTTGGAGTCACCAGATATCCTTAAACTAATCACAGCTGTGAAAGATATAATTGATTATATATTATTCCTCTTGCATACTGTATTGGCCCATGCACATTCAGATGGGCCTTCACTGAAAATGCAGAAACAAATTAATTTTAGTGATGCGTTCATGCTTCAAAATTCAGATCACGATCCAAATTTTGAACGCACGCAAGTGAGGAAATGTTTGGAACTGGGTTTTTTGTTCCAACCACTGAGAAAAGGGCCTGCTGCAAATTTCTTGTCTGGGATTGATCTGCCAAATTGTTTTTTAAAACCGTGGCTGCATTTCTAGTTTTCAGGCCTTTGTGAGTGAAGAACTGGGGAGATCTGCATCTCTTGATAGACATTGTCTGATGAGTTATGGAACTTAAACATTTGTAGTGGGATTCCTAGGTTTTATAATAGTAGCTGGCAAGTTATTTGCCACACACAATTTATTGGATGTATTTAGCCGGCTATTTTTTATGAATTATTAATGAACAGACATATTTTTACAGATTATTTAATGAATGGTTAATGCCAACATATGTCAGCATACAAGGGTGCTCACAAACAATTTGCCAAGACAATTGCTTTGAGTATTTTGAGAATTCAGTATTGCCGATTTGATATTCACATTGTGATTTGTCACTCAAGTCACATGACATTGCTTCTGCTGTCTGACTGGATAACTCCCACTCACCAAGGAGCTTTCAGGGTGGCTGCATGAAGAGTTCCAGTTTAGACACTCAGGTAGATACATATTTGCATGAGTATATGCAACACTTCTTTCTCACAAACAAAATATCATCCTCATGCATATTTGTGGAAAGTGAATAAGTGGGGTCTCAAATATCACCAAAGCAAATAGGTAGTTTTTATTCAAACAAAAGTTCACTTTTATTTTTGTTAGTGTTTACCAATCTCTGTACACTAACTTCCATTGACAGAATCACTTCCAACAGATATGGACTCCCAGATGAATACATATTTGCTAAAACTTTGTAGTATTTATAATAAAAGTACTTTCATGGCTATATATGCATGACATCCTGACATCCTCTGTACTCAGTGGGAGCCCAGTATATGTATCACAGGGCAGAAATTAGCCCCAAATATTGTTTAATCCCAAGAGGAGTTTATTTTCAATCAACTGATTGTCTGGGGGGGAAATATTACAATTGCCTCAGATCTCCCAACAGAGTTCTTATTGATCTCAAGAGTCAATTAAGTCCACGTGAATGGAAGAGTCTCCACAAATACATAATGGAAATTAAGGCTATAGCTTTCTTCTGCACTTCTTCCAAACCACCAATTTGTCACTATGTAGAGCCAAATCTTATTTGTCTTACTCACTCATTGAATTAAATGGGATAACTTGCGTGAGTAAAGCAAGTAGAATTTGAGTCATAATATAATTTGTACAAATATCACTCCAACATGAAACCTTGGAAGAGCAAAAATATTATTGACATTTATCTACGCTTTATTTACTCATCCAAAATGTCTCCATGAATGGACACACAAAAGATGAGTCAACAAAATCCTAATAGATGATCATTAACCTACACTGCATGGTCTCATCTTTAATTTCCCTCAGAGACATTTCAGTGTCTGCTTAATACATATATATAATTTATTTCACTGACTACTTCTACCTGTAGCTTTGTAAAATATTAATAATCATCATAATAATTTAAAAGAAACAGTCTCTCAGTTAGTAAAATAATCAGTAAAAGGAAACCACTTCTCCCTGGTTAGCAATAACCTTCCTAAAACTGTGCAGGTAAATGGCCCAACCTGAAGCCACTTGGGACACAGAATTCCCATAGAATTGAATAGGCTGAATTCAACCAGAGCTTACACGGGCATAAAGAGGGCAACCGAGGGAGCAGGTCCAACAAGCAGGGATGCCAAACTATCATGATCTCCCATTTGCAGGGGGCCATTAGGGGATAAGAGCAGCACAGAATTGAGGACAGCTGACCAGGAGGATGAGAAATGTGTTGACCTAGAGCATCCGTTCAACTACCTCTGCTGTGGGATTCCTATGGAACATGGTTGTAAACTAGAGCTGCAAAAAAGCTGAGGGAAGGTAGCAGTGGTTCCACCATCTGCCTTCCCATGTGTTGAATTCCCCACCTGGATTTGTGCAGGCAGGCATATAATTTATGTTTCCCTGCACTGCCGTTATTGAATCTGGCCACAATGACTCTGGCAACAGGATCTATTAGTGAATCTGGCTACTAGATTGGGCTCCCATATATCTTTTTTCCACTTATTGATCATTCTCTCTACCTATGCCCTCCCCTACTACATTACTAAGGGAGCTGGCGTTAATTAATTAAATACAATAATATTTATAAAGTACCCTTTCCTCACTTTTGGGGAGGCAGCGTGCAAGCAATTCAATCAGAGTAAAATAACAAACCAATAGAATTCTAGTCCTTAAAAACCCTTGGTGGGGGAAAGGACTGCTCCAGCCCCTGGATAGGATGAATGGAGGTAGGTGGTCCAGGTAGAGCAAGATCGACCTCCAACCTCCTGCCACCTCTAAGAGCCACCTCAAAATGGCTCAGTCAACTGCAAGATTTAGACACAAAGATATAGTTCCTAGAGGTGGATGGTGCCAGAGCATGGATACCACTCAATGAACAGATCTCCAGTGCAGCAGGTCTCTCTTCATTAAAGGTTTTAAAAAAACACTGAGACTGAGATTTTCATAAACTCACAACTTCTAGTAACCTTAATCCCCTAAACAGTTTTGAAAATCTCCACCTGGTTCTTGTTGTTCACTTCCCCGCTAACATGCCAACAACAACAAGGGCATAAACACAGCTCTGAGCCTATTAATTTCTGTTGGCTCTGCAACAGCGAGAGGTAGAATTATTTTCACGGGATCAACAAAAATAACAATATTCTGTTAGGGAGCGGGGGGGAGGCAGTTATGGGAGGGTGTCAGAAAATAGATCTTTGGTACTGCTGCTGGGACATGAAGTTCTTCAGGTTTTACAACTCCCCACCATTATTCTCACCTGCAAGCTGCTTCCTCCTCCAGTCAAAATCACCACCCTTATGGCTGAGGATAACTGAAGAGGGTGCCCTTAGAAAGCCCAACAACATTAAGTCAGCTAGAGAAGTCATTGTTCAGCAATGCTAGACACTGTCTCCCCACTGCACTCCCAACCCAGAAAGCTAGGAACTGGGAAGGTAAACAAAATCTGGGCCTACTGCATGGCAGTGCAGACCATTAATCATCATTAGGTCACAAGGCTGGACAGCTTGTGCTGCATTTCGTGGAGGGAACTGAGCAGTGAAGATAAGAGCTATTTACAATTAGAAAGATGTTCTCCATCCATTATAAAGAGAGAACATTCAGGCTGGACAACATGCAACATTTCCAAAAGAGTCAGACCTAGCAGTCTCTGCACAGTATCCCTAGCAAGGTGGCAGAAGTTCCATAGCTTGGTTCATTTAAGACTGGTCTTGGGAAAATCTATGAAGAGTAGACTGTAAAGAACAATCCTACCCTACCCAGATTATGGAGAAATAATCTAAAAGGTCTTTTTGATCTCCAGTTTCTGCAATTCTAATTCAATTATAAGGAAGATAAAATGAGGAACTTATCTGACCAGTGCATGTGCAAATGACCATGTTCATGTGTATGCAGATACACTAAATTTATTAGACATATACTGGAATATGTATTGCACTTTATCAGTAATTAAACAATTATAGATTATCTATTTTATATATGTGTATATATACCTACACACACAGCTATGCTTCCTCCTTCCCACCTTCTGCCTTGCACTTTCCTTGATATTTGTAATTACTGGAGGAAGGAGCTGAGGGACATTTAGTAGTTCATGGTGGGGAGAGAGCTAATGTCCTTGAAGGACAAACCACAGCCAAAGGAGTATATAGTTGTGCTGGCATTCCAGAGAGCCTCACGTAGGAACAATTGCACATAAACAACTTCTGGCAGAAAGAAGGGAATCCAAGAAGCTAGAAGCACCCACCTGCAAGTAGAAAAACCGTGAAGGATACAACAACTCAGGAGAAGACGACCCTCCTTCTCTGGGTTAGCTGCAGCCTCATCAAAGGGACCTGTGGAAAGAATGTGGTCCATGGTGAGAAAAGGAAGGATACGCTGTCTAGAAGCATTTGAATGATCTGGTGAGCTGGCAACAGAAGCTGCTTCTCCACCAGTAGCTGAGGCATCAGTTTCAAGGTCTTGTTGACCACTGTCTTGGTCACAGGATGAGCTTGACTTGAGTTCACAAGTTTTAGATAGCTGTAAACATCTCTATCCTATAAAGGCTTTGTTTGTAACGTGCCGTGCATAGTAACCAGTGGTGACAATATCTCATCATTCCTACCCAGCTTATGGCATCCCTTCATATTTAACCGTTAATAGTTGTGATCATATATAGCGGTTGCTTTGGGTTTTCTATGCAAATAATGCCAGCCCATAGAGTTCCATTTCAGCATATCCCCAGCTCCAATAATGCTACATCTTATTTCAAGAAGGGCAAATTTCTAGGGAGGGCCCGAATAGTTATGGGAAGTGTTCTCAACACCAAACAAGGGAAAGGGAAGGAAACCAAAGTGGCAAGGCACCAAACACAGCAATTCAGAATGACTGGGGAGTGAGCTAAAGACTGAAAAAGCTGATGACCAGACACATTCCAGAATGGAGACAGTAGCACCATACGGAGCAGATCCTAACTCAGAGCTAGTACGGCTTCCATTACCAAACAAAACATCTGAGCTAATGCATGAAAGAGGCACTCCAAAAGAAAAACAGTAAGCTTGTGCTCTTCCACTTTGTTTGTTTTTTTATGTGAGAAATTCTGTTTTTGTCTACCATCTTTTTCTTTACAGATTCTATAGGCAACTGAAGAGTTAATGAGATCATAATATCACCACTGCCTATCACGCTAAGAAATATTATCTCATTGTTTTCTTGTACTCCCTTTCAGTCTGTATCCAGCTCTTGTCTCTTGTCTTATACTTAGTCCCTGCCCTTTTAATCTTATAATCTGTCTTTTTGCGTTGTGTTTGTACAGTATCTAGCACAATGGTCCTGGTCCACGTCTAAGACTCATAGGCACTACAATAATTCAAATAAACAAACAACAACTACACACAGGTGTCAAGTAAGTGAAACTTGATTGACAGACTTTATTCAGATTTGTAAGGCTCTTGGGTTGTTGTTTATGCTAGTATCGATTTCATTCTTAACAAACAGCAGGAAGAAAACCCTCATTGTTCAAGATTAAGCATTTCATCCCTTCCCTTCTCCAGGTCCCTTAAGGAGACCTCCTGTGAAGTCGGGAAAAATATAAGCTGATTTTCCTGATGCTTCGTAAGGTAAAAACAAGCAGTTAAAATAAGTGAAAAATGCACATGTGTATGTGGGGTAGGGACCCCAAAATCTTTCAAGCCTTCATATAGCAGTAAAGCAAGGCCATGTTTTCCCTTTGCGGAAAACCTTTAACAATAGTTAATGAGGAGGGCAAGAAAGAAAACCGCCTATTTTGGAAAAGAATCTTTAGAAGTTGTAGTTTGTAACTGGGCATTCAGATGGGATTAGCAGGCTATGCTAGTGAGATAAGAAAACAATTTGTAACAAGTAAACACTCATGCATATCTGTGATTCAGTGGCCACACACCTAGGGATAGTCCACCCAAAGTATGTCTGCTTATTGAAGCTTCCATGCAGCTGAAATCCATGTAATTTAAATACCGAATGCCATCTGAGACATGAAACATTTTGCCCAATGTCACACAGTGAGTGGCAGAGTTCTGTTTCCTAATCCTAGTTCTAGCCACTGGACATAACATTCTGTAGTGGGGCTGGTCTTGTATATAGGGCAGTGGAGGAGAAATATGGGGAGCGATCAGAAGAGTGGGAGGAACAGGCAACACTTCCAACACATGCTCAACTTAGAGCATTTTCTAGCCTCTTTTTTTTTTTTAAACGGGCCATTGTCTCCAACATAAAATTCCACCAACTAGCAAAGTCCCTCGTTAGTATCTGAACCTAACCTATTATTTATTGTTGCTATTTACAGTTGAATAGCTACCCTGTTTAACTCGAAGGCCAACTGTACTTCAGTAATAGGGAAGCCATCTTTGGTATGAAAACCACTCTAGAAATGTAAGAAAATAATCTTTGTTTAGGTGTCAGGTGGGGTGAAAAATACGTAAAGCTAAATTCTTCTCTCAGACGCGTAAGTCAATGGGAGAGGCATGGATGTGCCTGAGAACAAAATTTGATCCTTATTATTTTGCATAATTGTCATTTATGCACAAGCAACATGTCTTAATATCCATTTTTTTATTTTTTCAGCTTAAATTTGCCTTTTCTTAAGTATGCACATAGTACCTCACACTCAGATAATGTGTCTTATAAAAACAGATGGATTTCTCCTAGCTTGTGTTTTAATATTGTTGACAATGGCCTTAAATTCCTTTGGCCCACAGTACAGGCCTCTGAATACCGTTATATATCCTCTGGACGGTGAAATATTCTGTTTATTCAAATGAAGTCTCAGATAACACTAGCCCTCTGCTTTTGTACAATAGTCTGTTGGCCTGATCCTGCTTCCGTTAAATTCAACAGGAGCAGAATCAAGACCTATGTCTAATATTTTTCCTTAGCTGGTTGCTATTTGCTTATTTGGGAAAACAGAAATAAAATTTAAAAAATCATTAAATCATACATGTCTTAACAAAAAACACCATAAATACAACAATGTTTTTATTAAGGTAGGAAAAAAGGTTGATGGCCAATATGCAACTTTAATCTTTTGACGCCAGACAAATTTCTGATTCAGGCTCCTTTATATACTTTCCTTGAACAAGTCAAATCAGATCAGAATCTTTCTCGATGCTACAAAGTGTTAGTCCTAAGTTTATCTAACTCAGTACATTAGATGTTTGATTGTGATCTCAGGTACTCAGTGATCACCTTACAGCTCAAAACAAAGCAACCAAACAAACCTCATTTATATATTGTGGGTACCAAGCACCAGAAACAATTTCACAAGATACACTGCTATATTTCCTGATGATCCTTATCTGGAACTAGAATCAAAGGAATCAGGCCTAAAATCTTCAGCTATTCCCTTCCGCTTTTATCCAAATATATTACCCGAGACCTCAAACCTGCAAGCACTTACTTATAGGAGTAGTCCTATGGGCTTCAATAAGCTACTTGCCAAAGTAAAGTTACTCACAGCCCTCAAACTGCATCCTTGTACTTTTGGCATAGTTATGCCCAACAGGTAATTCCTCAGAATAAATAAACTCAAGTATGAAGTATTTATCGTACTGAAAAATAAATGTAAAATTTTGGTAGGGAAAATTCTCATTTAAAAAGAAAAAATATTTCCAAGGAAAATATTAATCAGAAATATATAAGATTAGAATTACAGGGAAGTGAAAACCTGCCACAGATATTACCCAGAAAGAAACTCCAGCTGAAAATGATCAATGAAAAATAGATTAGCTAGAGTGGTCAACGAATAGAGGCAAGTTGGCTAAATTGTTAATTAGTAGTTTGTACAAGGGAAAAAAACTTCATCATTCACTATCATCAGCAAAATTGTTTTGTAATTGGTTTCTCATGTTGGAATGAAAAGAAAGAAAATTATCTCTGTTATTTTGGGGAAAAAAACAGGAAAAAAGAGGATTAAAAAAAACCTTTATTTAACAATCTTCATATTAACAGGCAACAGTGATAAAATGGCAGGACATCTGATGCTTTGACAAAAATTTCTTCTGATCCAAGCTTGTTCATCACTCAACTTCCACTATCACCTCAAAGGAATTATTTTTCCTTCTTAATTTTGGTTACATTCTTATGAAAAACTCATCCTAAACCCGTCTTGTTGGTTCTAAATGTGCTGTAGACTTTTGTTTGCAAATAAGAATGACCAAGCCAAACCCTGGTTTCCTTATAAATGTGAGTTGTCCCTCTGAGGCCAATGGGCCTCATTCTACTCCTATTAAAATCAATGGGACTGTACTCACATGAGCAAGGCAAGATGGTCATTGTTTTTATGTTTTGTTTCAGACATCACTTGCAGATGGGATGCATTATGTAGTTAATGGCCGATAATTGTAATCTGTTGAACTGCTGTGGCAAGGATGATATAGCATGGTTTTTGTTTGTTTCTCACTCCCATTATAATTTTTATTTTTAAGTATTAAAAAGAAATTCAACTCAAGGTTAATTCTTAGGGCCAATTTCTGCTCTGCGAATTTTTACAAATAATCTCATTTTCTTGAAACATGTGTACGGCAAATAATGCCATTTGGCAAATTTAGAAGTATTTGGCCGTTACATACGTAGGTTTTCTATTTGTATCATTCCTAACAGATTTACCGTTTACCACATTGTCTTTCACAAAACATTCTTTTGCTTATACAGTGGACCTTTGAATAAATATATACAAAGTAAAATTTCCATTAAGGCTGACTTTTGTTACACAAACACCTGTCTTAAGGAACTGTGTTGTAACATCCTCTGTAATGGAATCCCTATTTTGTTTGAATTTAAAAAAAAATTATAAAAATTATTGTAGATATTCCTTCCAATAAAGGCACCGAGGCTGCATTCCTCACATATCCAGAACTTCCATTGACTTCAGAATGAGCCCACTAGATTAAATGTTTAGTATTTTATTTATGTTTTATTATCTTTCCTTGCTTTGATTGTTCTATTTGTTTCCTTTTGGGTGTCTTCCTTTTTGTTTCTATTGGATAGTGAAGTCCTCTTAGGGCTTTGATCCTGAAAACACTTAGGTATGTCAGTGACTTTATGGACTTGTGTAGTCCTATGGAACTCAGTGGGACTTTGTACATGTTCATGTGTCTAAGTGTTTGCAAGATCGGAGGAGGGTAGGGGGAGGCGGGGGTGGTTGGTTGGATGGATGATGAAAACTGCCTGTTGTGTAGAACCACGTCTGCTCTATTTTTACACTGATCCAGTGGCCCCCATGCCCTGAGCAACAGTGGCTGGAATGGCAGCCTAGGTCTAGCATCTCAACCACATAAGAGGCTGCACTCCATCCCTGTGCCCTAGCCTCTGCATGGAG